TAGTTTTATTTAAGAAAGGACTTGTATCGCTGAAGTTCCTCGGGAAGAATTTATACCGGAAATTAACAAACGACCAGAGACGTAACAATATTATTAGAAGAAAAAGTATTACTTTTAACTTTATAGTTTTTGCATACAAACCAACCAATAGCACCAAAAAGTTTACGGTTTACCGAAAATCCATAAAAATCCAATAACCAATCACGTCTTCTTATAACTCTCTAAACCACAATCTTCGTAAATAAATTAACTGGATTTTGGAACCTTATGTTTCCAAAATAAGTACCCAACTAGAAAACACTTCACACCTCGTAAAACACATACTTTATACAGTAAACGTCATTATGTCTAGGTTTGATGTCGTAAACCTATTCCCTAAAACCTCTTTTCATGAGGCAATACAACTTACTACAAAAATGATTTCACACGACCGAAAAAGGAATCAACACAAAACAGGTACATCTAATCTAACTGTCACAACTAGCCACATTTATTTGCTTTCAATACGGAGATTCGCACTTCCTTCAGTTACACGGATTTGCAATGGGAAATCCATTATCAGGCATTTTGGCCACTCTTTTATTACATCACATAGAACAACATTCCATAGTCACTTCTACATACAAGTCTACATTTTGCTTAGATATGTAGATAAGGTTTTTTGCGGCTTTACTTGTAAAGATGAACAAACAAAATCCCTTCAACACATAAACAGCTTACACAGAGACATACAATTCACATTTGAAAATAAAAACAGTTACAAGATAAATTTTTTAAAAGTTTACATCTCAAGAACTCTCAAGGCTTCACCACTAAAATGCATAAAAAAACACATACAGCGGAAATTACATAAATTGGTTTTCTAATCACGTAACCCTCCAGAAGTTAGGCACTCTTAAATTTAGCATACATTATATATATATATGTATGTACCAACAAAAACATCGATAAAGAAGCTGCACACTTAACCCAATGCTTTTGTAACGTTAACCTGTTCTCTACTAAAATAGTTACAGAAAATATTAAGTTTATTGAATTGAAAGAACACAGCCAAGAGACACTTAACAAACACACTGACAAAAAAAGAAAACAAAAAAAACACAGTCCACAAAACAAAGGAAACCTAACCACTTGCACTATTCCCTATATAGAAATATACCTCAATCAGAAATTTGAAAAATACTAGCACATAAATACAACCTTAACATAACTCCTAGATTCATTTTCATCTCTGGAATGGAAATTAGACCTATTTTAAGAAAATTATATAACGAACCTATCGCACCAGGAAACATTTCCAAAATAAGGTGTAACAACTGCCCAGCCTTTTACAAAGGTGAAAAAGAACGTAACTTGAAGACCACATATGAACAAAAACAAACAGTTTTTCTGAACAGAATGTCAGTACTAAAACATGAACCTGACATTAACGAAGAAAAATCAGAGTAGCCTTATTAATAAAATCAAATAATCTCACAATTAAATACACAGGCACATCACTATGTGTCTTTGATCGTTATTTCCTTGGCCATTCCTAATCTTATGCAAATATCTCGCATAATATATTCCACTTTTTGTTCGTTTTTTTCTGTTGAGGCATAAACAAATAACCTGTCAATTCACGCGGATTGATACAGTCATGAATAACTAACCACTATCAATTATAAAATTTAAATACATTGTTAGATTGCTGATTTAAATACTAAAACCTTCTTTACCGGAGAATTATCGCACCAGTGACGGAAACGTCGTATCTGTTCTAAAAATAATCTTCCTTACTGTAAAATATATAACTTGTAATAAAATAATACTGTTAGTTATTGTATGCAAAAATACTTTATGTTAGGCCCAAAATTCTCTGATATGTGACCGATTAGTCTTACGATCGCAATGATTTCGAAGATTACCTTTTAACAATCTACCTTTATTTATGTGACACAAATTAACTAAAAAACCAGACTGCAATGTACTTATAAACATTATATTCCAAAAATACATATCAAACTTTATCTATACAATTTCTCACGTACATCACGCACTGTCTAGCGCTAAGCGGTTAGCGCCCTCGTTGATAATAATCTACGGAGGCAGTTGGGTACCATTTTAAATTCTCGTTCTCGTAATAAACCGTCCACATCGTCAAAAATAAATATCAGTGAAAAATTGTATAATTCTCATAAATGACTGAAATTCACGTTATCGCAACCTCCAGAGAGTGGGATTAAGAAGGATAATTGTATGTTAATATTGGTAAACATGGGAAACAAAATCAAACAAAAATGCATTACCGCCATAACCACGGTATGTGGCGCAAAATTTTTAAATTTGAATTCCCAGAATATCATGCTCCTTACCGGTTTTATAGGTACCTAAAATAAATAACAATAAAATATAAAGCATATACAAGGTTAATGACTAGGGAATAATGCTTATGCAACCTTAAAGGGGAGGTGATTAAATAGCCTAGCTGTCTGTATTGATATAATACTTAAGGTACGTGCGGCCTAAAACAAGTCTGGTCGTCATCTAACTCTGATTCATATCTTTCAAAAGTTAATAACTTATCACTACAATATGCTCACCTTACTTAATACTTTTATTTTTAAAGTTATTTATAATCAAAGAAAATATATAATCATTATTCTAAGATTTTTCCTATGAGAGGATCATAAACAATAACATAAAGTTATTGGTTAGCTAAAGTTATAAACTAGTGACGTGGAGGAAAGCTAACATTCTTAAAACAGTGTCTTTTATGCAGGATATTATTTCATGCCTACTATGTTAACCGATGGATATATAATTCACACTGAAAAAGTAAACATGTTACACCTGCGAAAAAAAAAGAAAAAAAGGAGCCTTTGAAAGATATAAAATGTGTCTTTTGTTTCTCTCTCTTAAATATGGACTGCCCTAAAATGATAGTCCACGTTATGCTTGGTAAAGGACATAATTTCAAAACTTTTTACTCTTATGGAAACACTAAGGTGTGGAAAATACCCAAACTAAGGATTCACACTTTGCAGATGAGAATTTGAATACCTAACGTATATATGGAGGATACAAGTGTGTCGTTAAAATGTGATGAATGCCAATATTCATATATATGCGTATGTATAAAATACGAGTGAAAAGTTCAACACAGTGGTCTATAGTTTTGTTCAAAATATCGACTTTTATTACGTATGTAAATGATTAACCTTTGACACAAAATATTCAGAGAAACTCTCGTAATTCTGATATTTTAACAGTGAAATCAAGCCTAAGCGTAATTCAGCAAGTATATCATTTTAATATTTTTAATTGGAGTGTTTGGTGGTAGACAGCTAGCAAAAAGAAAAATTGCGGAGGCTTTTGCCATCCATGTCAAAAATCTGATATAATAGTATGTAAACAATATTTGTATTGTTCAAATACAATTAAAAGAAAAAATATATATAAAGAGTCAATATGGCCAATTTCAAAATGATAGAACAGAAATCCTTTATGATTTGACAAATTTTGTAAACTTACAGATCTTTCAATTTAGAAATGATCATCAAAACCAATCTGTCATAATATGCACATCCGACCTATACGACGGGAAGTGACGTAATAAAAAGCAAGTTTTTAAGTTTTCACCACGTGACAGGTGGTGTTATTTTCATACTTCTTATTAAACATAGTAATCCAAATTAATCATTTCAACAGGACATACCTGAAAAATTTAAGGCGTTGAGAATAGTATTTTTAAACTTGGCACAGTTCGCTTATCAACTACTAACAAACGCGAAACACGCCACCATAAAAAAAAAATGCATATTTCAACTATTAACAAGGAATTTCTCTGGAACAACGCTTATAATCCAAAGATAAAACAAGGATGGCTATTTTCTAAATCTCTGAAGCCAATGTAGACCTTGGTTAGATTCTGAAATGCATAATCACATCACACACATTCTTTGAACTTAATTATGTGAACATAGCGGGAATTTAATAAAGTAAGGCTTTGTTGAAGTCAGCTCACATGCCACCGTTAGCGCCATCTCTGGGCAATTTTAAAAACATATTTTTAATATATTAAACTTGAAAACTACCCTTTAAAAACTTCAGTTACCGATATTTATAACGTAATTTAAAAAATATTAGTACGTGCATTTCAGATCTTAATAATTTTATAACTATTACAAACTGCATGTATGATATTACAATTTCACACTGTTACATGTGAAGCAATACGACGATCTAAAAATATCCTTTGACAAATAACTAAGCAGAACACTTAAAAAACGTACAGATGGGAATGTTATTGCAAGAAATTATAATAACTGATGAAAATTATAAAATGCACAAAAAAGTAATATGAAGCAGCTAAGAACATCCTCAAAATAAACCTTTCATCCAATAATTGTTTTTTAATACAGATTTACGTCTCTGGCACCATTTGTTTAAGTACCTCATCACAACAACATCAATTAACTTTTGTACTTAACCATTGGAATGCATATTTTTTAACTAAAGCAAAACGGTTAAAGCCTTCCTATATTGTTATATATACTCTACATTATAAAAGCATACAAAATTACCATAAAACAAAGGATCATAAAAATTACATGAGCAACGTTGAACTATAAATGAATAAACAAGAATTAATTTTGTAACTGCTACTTTTACAAGTGTTTACATAAACAATATTGAACTATAGTAGATAAATGAATAAACAAGAATTAATTTTGTAACTGCTACTTTTACAAGTGTTTACATAAACAATATTGAACTATAGTAGATAAATGAATAAACAAGAATTAATTTTGTAACTGCTACTTTTACAAGTGTTTACATAAACAATATTGAACTATAGTAGATAAATGAATAAACAAGAATTAATTTTGTTAACTGCTACTTTTACTAAGTGTTTACGGTTCATTTGGTCACAAATAACTGTACAAATTCCTAACAATATTTAAATA